ATTTACAAATAAGGAATCCTACTTCGCGGAATTTCATTTATCACGGTAGGGTCTAGAACCGATTAACCGCGATAAACGAGGGTTCACTGTACATGTTATTTGTGTTCGCTTCTGAATAAAAAGGTACATAAGTTATTTTGCATTAATTGTTTCGTTTTCATTAATGTAGACTTGTAAAATGCCTGTATGCTGCTAACAGTAACCACATACCTACTAAGTTAAAATCTGGCACATCTAGCCCACTCAACACTACCACAGAAGAAAGGTTTAGTGAGGAACTTCTATAAAGATTGAAGGCAAGGAAATTCTATAAGTCAGAATCAACTTAATAGGATTGGGTTTGGGTTTTTGTGTGTGTCTTAGGTGGACTTCTATTTTGAAAACAAAGAATAAAAGGCCTGAGTACATTGGCAAATCAATATCAAGGGTATTTGGCAAGTTCCTCATTTCATTTCCTGAAAGAGTCCTTAGAACTCCATGCAAACTCTGTACTATGGGCTCCAGCATATTCCTGGATCGATTTGTCCCAAGTTCAACGTATTCTCTGGAGCTGAAACAAAACAACTCCTAGCATCCGCAGGACATGAGAGAATGACATGCACGGCGTCCCAGTTAGTCTTCTAGACTCTTAGAGTCTGAGCTGTTGTCATCCCCTGCGTGATAGAGGAGCTAAGGCTTAGACAGAATAAGTACTTTTTGCCAGGTTAAACATGTAAATGCTGAATCAAAGTTTTAAAACAGTTTCAAAGCTGATTCCTGGGCTTAAGCCCCCCCATGCTCTTTTGGTGCCGTCACGACACCTATAGTGACTTGCATAACTGTCCCAGTATGCTGATTCTGATTGTATATTGTTCCATCCGCAGGTGCCTAGCATACGATGAGTACATAGCCCATATGGTCAAACTGTTAAATTGAGTTTAGTTGAGCATAAAAGACTGACATAAGTAGAACTCAGCTGAAGGCACAGCTCCTGGTCTTCACAATGAGGGCAGTGGTTCTGCTCTGTGGATGCACCCAGCAGTCCCTCCAGAAGCACATAAAACTACTCAGGCCTGGGCCCTGTCCCCAGATATTCTGCTGAGTTGGCCTGATTTTCTTTCTCCTGTTTTCTGCCATTTGTGAGTCTAGTAAATAAGGTTCAATGGTCTTTCCTCAGAACTCAGTGAATGTATGCATATATGGTGGCCTGAGCTTTGGGGTTTCAAATTTCCAAATGGTTAGAGCACAACCAAATTTAAAGTCACCTACAGAGGGTGATGAGTAGCTCTGGGTGGAGATCCAGGAGGTGACATGCACTGCATGGACCACTTCAATCCACACTTTCTGAAATCTGAACTCAAGTCTGTTCAAAGAAGTTTCTTTGACTCCCTTTGAAATCACATTTTGTTCCTTTGCTTTTCCTACAGTGTTTTACCTAGCAAACTGGTGCTTGCCGCTGCCAACTACTTTGGAATGGACTCAAATACCAATGGATTAGAAGAGAGAAAGAAAGCTGAGGAACGAAAATGTTGAAAATACCAAGTGTTTCAAATCCTTGATTGTGGTGATGCAATAAATACAAAATAATATAAAGATAAACTGTTCAGTTTCTCCTAGTCCTGTTTAATTTCTCAGAGAATATATTTATAAAAATTAATTAATGATAATTGATCCTAATTTTTAAATACACCATATACAGTAATATAAAAGGGATAATTATAAATAACTATTTTGTAAATCAGTGATTTAAGCTGATAGTTTTCCAACACAAGGTTTATTAGTCCATGTAACTGTAGTAATTCAAATAATTAATTTTTACTTCACAAATGAAGGTGTGTTTGTACTGCTTATTCCCACTGGAGTTGGATGGTCATATCAAGGTCCTTAGTGAGAGCCAACCACCCTGTTAGATCAAATAAATCTGTAACTAATGAGTTTGTTTGTATCTGAGAGTGTCACAAAGTCCTATAATTTATCCTAGACCAAAAAATACCCCAAACTCACTGCCATTGAGTCAATTCCAACTCTTAGTGACCATGTAGGACAGGGTAGAAATGCCCCTGTGAGGTTCTGAAAATGAAGATAAAAATTCTGGCTGGACCGGAGGAACTGGAAACACAGGGAATCCAGGACAGATGATCCCTTCAGGACGAGTGGTGAGAGTGGCCATACCGGGAGGATAGTAGGAGGGTGGGGTGGAAAGGGGAAACAGATTAAAAGGATCTATGTATAACCTCCTTCCTGGGGATGGACAACAGAAAAGTGGGTGAAGGGAGACGTCAGGCAGTGTAAGATATGACAAATAATAAATAATGTATATATTATCAAGGGTTCAGGAGGGAGAGGGGGATGGGGAGGGAGGGGAAAAAATGAGGATGATACCAAGGGCTCAAGTAGAAAGCAAATGTTTTGAGAATGATGAGGGCAACAAATGTACAAAAGTGCTTGACACAATGGATGGATGTATGGATTGTGATATGAGTTGTGCGAGCCCCCCCCCAAGATGATTATATATATTTTTTATACCCTACTGACCTGAGAAGGAACACTTACTTTCATATTTAACTCAGTAAAATGATCACTGCATTGATGCATATGAATATATAAGATCCCTTAAAAATAAAAGACAAAGTGCACTACCCATGGCAGCCATTTGCAAACAGTTATGAACAGTGATATATTCCTGTGTTTAGAGGAATCCTTAAGCTATGATACCTAAGCATCAATTAAGCAGGTTCAATACCTAGTAAAAGGTTGGAAAACCAAAGAGTGAAATTTCAAGAAAATTCGAGGGTGTGTTTTGTTGAACACTCAGTATATAAGATCTGTCGTATTATTTGGGATGTAATATTCTCTACATTCATGTAAAGAAAACACCCCCTTTTCTATTGTTAGATATTCTCGAAGGAAGCAGCATGAGCCAGGGGTTATTAGGAAGAAGTTTTAAGAAAATGAAAAGGTCTTTTGCTCCCAGCCGGGCAAGGTGTTGGAAGTGGAGGGTTATGGTTTTCATCGGCAATTCTCCTGAGAATTGTTTGAAGGTAACCAGGACTGTCCTATGAAACCTTCCCCCACTCCTAAGTGTAAAATCCAGTGACAGTAATTCTATTTCCATTGTGCAACCATCTCCACTGTTGCAACCGTTTTTCATTCCCAAATAGAGAATGTGTCCCTTTTGCAAAAATTTCCATTTTCCTTTGACTCAGTCTCTCTGAAAAAATTTTCCATACAGTTTTTTTAAATATAGAGTTCTTATATCGTACATTTCAATAGTTCATTCATATTTCAATGTTTTCTAACTCTCATCACTATCAATTTTAATACTTTTCCTCTTCCTTGTACTCATTTCCTTCTACTCTTCTGTGTTCTGCCCCTAGGATGCTATTATTTGTCTCTAGAGATTTACTGGTCCTGGATTACATACGCAGAAGAACATTGACATGGAAATGACAACCAAACAGCCCAACAACAATACCAGAATAAGACACAGAGCAACATCAATCCAAAAGAAACCAGAAAATATTAAAAGCTGGAATCAATATATGTTGGCTTGAGAGGGAGATCAAATGACAAAGTGTCACATTTTATCCTAATTACAATTGCAGTAATACAACCTACAATGCATTCTGTCTAACAAGGCCTTCCCAGCCCTGGCCCATAGTAATAGTGGATTCATCCAGAGTCTTAATTCACATGTGGAACCCTGTAAATGTTTTCTAGGGCTTTCACTGTCATCCATAGCCTGCTGCAAACTGGGTGGTCAGAATTTAAGCTTTAATACCATTCCCTCTTTGGATCTAAATTTTATTATTTACAGTCCTTGGATCATACAGGTTGTTGTGTTTATTCCATGTGTAATTAGTTGATGCCTCACTTAGATGGCTGCTTGTTTTAAACAAGCTTTTAAGACCCCAGACACTATTCTTTCTGGTAACTGGCCACCATCTGCTTTCTTTACCACATTTTGCCATAGCACCCATATCTTCAGTGATCTCTTCATGAGGGCAAGTATTAAGCATGATTATGTCATAAAAATTAATTTTAAAAAAAATTAGGGCTCCAATTAAGTGCCAGCTCAAAATCCGTTCATATATCTATGGTTTATATATGTTCCTGATTCATGTGAGAGACATCATTATTATTTTATTGGAGAACATTGTGAATCACCCTTTGGATGACTCCCATATGGTCATCCTATTGATGTTGTCATTAATTTAGTCAATGGCATAGAATTTAAAACACTGTTGAAGAAAGGAAACTACATATGTATAGCACAGATTTTTAGACCAACATACATGGATTGCTGATTTGTTCAGATTATCAATTTAGGTGGCTGGACAGTATATGCACACAAGATGGGATTTGGAGATAGGGCAGAACTTCTGTACTGAGTTCTAGTTTTATAATATTATGTTCATAGAAGATGCTTTGCATTATTTTGGTGTTTAAATTTTTATTTAGGATTATATTTTGGCCTGGAATATAGCCCTTCTGAAGAATGATCCATGTGAACTGGAGAAAGATATGTACTGTGCTGCTCTTAAGTGGTGTGTTCTTGACCTTGAAGTTAAACCCCAAACGATTAAGGCCATCAATGAGGGAATTGGGACCAACTTGAGTGGTGTGTTCCGAATACAGCTAAAAGACTGAGTTTGTTGATTGTGTTATTTACATCTTGTGTGTTTTTACTAAGCTTCTTTCTAGTTGCTCTGTCCATCATCGAGTGGTTTGTTAAAGTATCCTAGTATTGCAGTAGAATCATCTATTTCTCTTTTCAGTTTGGTAAGAGTTTGTTTAGTATAGTTGAGACCCCTGTCATTGGGATTGGGTGCTTAAGTATTTATTATTAAGATGTCTTCTGGGTGGATTGACCTTTTAATCAGTTTTGAAGGTCTTTCTTTGTCTCTTAAAATAGATTTTGACTTGATGTCTATTTTCTCCAAAATTAGTATTGGTATTTTTTGCTCTTTTTAAAAAAATCATTTTATTGGGGCTCATACAATTCATCACAATACATAGATCAATTGTGTAAAGCACACCTATACATTTGTTGCCCTCATCATTCCCCAAATTTGCTTTCCTCTTGGGTTCCCAGAATCAGCTCATTTTCCTCCCCCACCCCCATGAACCCTTAATAATTTATAAATTATTATTATATCTTATATTACACTGCTCGGCGTCTCCCTTCACCCACCCCTCTGCTGCCCGTCCCCCAGAGAGGAGGTTATATGTAGATCCCTGTGATCAATTCCCCCTTTCTACACCCCCCTACTTCCCTCCTGGTATCGCCACTGTCACCCCTGGTCCT